GTTCATTTACCAATGGCCGTTTGGGGCCTAGGTATCAGTGGTCAGCCCTGCAGACAGTCAGAGCTCCTCCTTGGCACTTACACTGGCAGCCTGGGGACCTAGGTCCCTCCCACGAGGACAGGTCAGCAGTCAGCCTGGTATTTGGGGTCTCATCCTTCACACGTTAGATTTGACTTTGTGATTGTTTCCCACAGCCAATGCATGCCAACGACTCCATCTAGTAACAAGGTCTGAAGACGTGCAGCTGAAATGTGGACCCTAGGAAAAGTACATATGCTTATATTTAAAAATTGTACGAGTCATAAAGTGTATTCTTAAAAAGTATGTATCTTAAGTGTGAGGCCCATTTTCAGGAATCTTTGGTTATTTATTTTATATGGTTGTACACACTACTTGAATAAAGTCTAGTTTTATTCTGTCAGTGGTATTTGTTAATGCAGATATAACTATGGGGTTCTCTGCCTAATTCCCCAGCATCTGTCCCCAGCCTTCACACCCAAGTTTCTACACAATGTTAGATAGACACAGTGTGTGGAGCCACAGTTAAGAGAAAGCAGCTGTGTGTAGCTTCTCTACTGATGGAGATGCCCTAATGTTTATTTGTTTTCTTTGCCATAAGTGAGAATCTGATCGGGTAAGTAACACCATACTTTCTTTTCTAAATTGGAGTTGGAATAATACTCACCTCAGAGATCGTGAGTTTAATGAGCACATTCGTGTTACCTATGTTGCTCATAAATGGCTGGCATTGTATATGTTTTCTGTGCTTTAAGGGTGCACCCTCTTCTCCTTTGGGCCTCCAGATTCATTTTGAAGTTCCCACCCTGGTGCACAGCTGGGTGATTCCCCAGTGTCGGTGGGGTACAGAGATTTGGTGGATCTGGGGGCCGGGGAGGAGGTTGGCAGAAGACGCCTCTCTCTCTGTTTCTATCACTGTCACCTACAGCTTATGTGGCATCTAAAACTCTCATGAGTACCTCAAGCTAATTAAGATTTTTAGAACATCTGTCTGGTTTTTCATTTCTTGGAAGTTAAAACGTCCTCTTTGAATTCCCTGGTGCAAGCCAAGCAGTGCCCAGCAGGGTGCCGGGGCACAGCCAGAATTCCTGCACTTGGGTGGGAGCCTGGGCAATTTCATGGGATTCTGGCTTAAATTCAAGAATAAAGGGCTGGGGAAAGATTAAAACTAGACCTATATCTCTCACCATGCATCAAAATGGATTAAAGATCTAAATATTAAAATAGAAACGCTGAACCGGCTGGAACAGAGGTTAGGTAGAACTCTTGAAGACATTGGTGTAGGAAAAGATTTTATGAACAAAACT